CGATCCTGACCTAACAGGGTAAAAGGTAATAAGGTAGGCCAGGATAGTAATAAATGCATCAACGGTTTCAATCAACTCGTATAACTTAATGCAACAATATATAAACTCATATATATAGAAAGAATTGCTTTTATAAATTAGGAGACTTATAATGCTCCGTGGCTTGCCTAGGATCCCACACTGAGTCAGTGTTAGTTAGACGACACTCGCTAAGTGAGCATCTCCCGTCCTAGCACTTGTCCAGTCCTTCCACCTTCGGGATAGGTCCACCATACACCGTCTTCGGGTTCGGCTCCAACATCACTCCCTTCACGTGGTTCATCTAGCGCACCTAGATGAGATGCAAGATGCAAGTGCATGAATATGAAGAATGGTAATACAAGAGGCATCACATAAGCATTCAAGACAAACACAAGATTATGCAAGACATAGACACCAATAGCTATTTAACTAACATCACACAACTAACTATAGAGAGCAAGCACATCAAGCATGACACAAGTTTAACAAGGTCACAAGTATCATATCTTGACCATCAACAAGGGCATAAGCCACACTTAGCAACACATGGAGTAAACAACCACAACTAGCATATGTCTATTTCTGGACTGGAAACAACAACTTCATGTTTGGATCATAACTAGAGTTATACAAATCCAATAGCCATGAAACAAGACATTCAGGAAAGCTTATGAAATTCTCTACATTTCATTTATAACCATCACAGCATGATTCACAAGTTATGTGGGTTGAAATTATATATTTACAGAAACTGGTCTAAACAAGACAGAGAGCAATCAATTCTGTAACCCAACTTTAAACAGCTGTAACTCTTAAACTACTTGGCCAAATGACACCAAATTTTAACAAAAGCTAGATACATGAATTATCTACAACTTTTGTATAAACAAGTTTCACAACAAAACACATTATCATAAAGAACTTTGCTAAGTTCCTAGATCTGTCCATAAACCACATCGGCAAGAAAATAATTATTAACTTATGTTGCAAACACATAATTGGGCAAAACCAACTTTACCAACATTTCACACATGACTAAAGAACACCAGAAAACATGGTGCTCACCTTTAAATAATTTTTCTCAAAGCATTTCTTAATTTATTTAGACATCAAGGTGTATTTATGAACAAATACCAAAAATGCACAATAAATTCTATAAAAATTACAGTAGCTCACATATCATCTCAATAGTCTACTGTACAAATTTCATACTATTTTTATAAGTATAGCTGCCTCTACGAAAAAGACAATTTGCTATTGCAAGAAATCATGTGAGAGCGAGATAAACCAATAACTCACTCATACTTCATTCAATACTCATGAAATTTTTACCACACATCAACTATCACATTAGTAGCATGCCAAACAAATTTCACTTCATTTGGAGCCCTAGATCTGCAGTTATGGAAAATAACAAATTCAACTAGCATTACAACCTTACTGCACAAATCTATTTTTGCAGCTAAAACTTTAAACTAAAACATGCCATATTATAGATCTACTGCATAGAAAATTTCACAAGGATTCCAAAAAGTACTCATTTACTATTTTTCGATTTTTCTATTAATTACTACGAATTTTCAAAGTTGATTATTCAAATCTGTAAAAACCAGAGAAAAGGAAATGTAAATCTTGCATCGGGGACCCTGCATTAAACACCAATCAAACTCAAGCGAAGAGGTCCTCATGAGCACTATTCAAACGAGTCATAACTTCGCAGATCGATCCCTCCATTTTGTCAAATTCCTAGGCGCAGTCCTTGGCGAGATTTTGGAGCAGAGGAAGCTTGGGGGCCGGCCGGGGAGGGCTCGCCGGTGGCGGTGAGTGGCGGGGAAGAACCGAGGGACCCGCGCACACCCGCAGGTGCCATCGGCTTGCCCCACAGCGGCCCGAGGCCTGCCGACCACATGAGCAGGCGGCCATGGCTCCAACGACGGCAGCGCTGCGGTGGCGATTCTAGCTGAAGAAGTGGGTGGGAGGGACAGCGTTGGCAGGGGAAGGCGGTGGGGATAGCGGCAAGGGCGGAGGAGGCTCTTGGCTCTCTGTCCACGCACGCTCACGACGCTCGGCATTGGCGGCCATGGTGGTCGCTCGTCCCGGCGTGGAGTGGCGTGGAGCGAGGAGAGAGCAGAGGTCGAGGGAGCGAGTGAGGAAGGAAGTAGAGAGCTTGGCCGGGGCTCTCCCCATCCGCATCGAGCACAGGAGGCACACGGCAGAGAGCAGGGGCGCATGGCGGCCACGTCCACAACACGCGTCGTTCATTGAGGCAAACTTCCGAACAAGTGGCGGGCGACGGTGAGGGTGAGGTGGGGAGCCAATTTTGGCCGTCTCGGGTGCGAATTGGACATTGGGCCTAAAATGAAGTTTGAAGCCCATGAACTGCCCTTCATTTTTCATTTAGAGAACATGGTCATTAGAGCTCTCCATTAGCGGTTAATCAAGCCCCAAGTTGATAGTGTCAACGACTTGACGAGGTTTACACCTTGCTCTGCTTGTGCTCCAATTACTTGGTCCCAACATGGTCAAACTGATCCCAACATTTTGTATGTCCTTCTCCAAGATGTAAACTCCAACTTTTATTTTAGGGTCAAGTCAAGTTGCTTAACAAAAACACGAGAACGCGACATGCCAACGCCGATGACGATGAATTCCTTAGAATAATTCTAAGTCTAAAAACAGCCGCTGATTCAATTTTTAAACCTTATTTTGACTTAGTTCCAAGTTGATCCGGCTCTTGGTCCAAAAACAAAGTTTGTTCTACTCCACTCAAACTTCGACTTTTATTTAAGGTGCAACTCCATGCAAGCAATGTAAGCGATTGTTCAACACAGGTCAAAGTAGCATCGCGGTAAAGCTTAAATATGAGTTTTAGACCGATTGATGCATTTTCTTGATCTCTGCTCAACACGAACCCTTCATGACTTTTGTTGTAGAGTTCAATTAGAGTCACTTGGGCAAGGTAGCAAGGTTTGGTTAATGACCTATAATTCCATTCACTTGATAGAGTAATCCAAGAAAGACTTTTAACTTATCATTTCATGTGACTTCTTGATTCCAAACTTCATGAAACTATTTCACTCATCCAGGTGGGTGGAAATTAATGTGAGGCACATGAAAGAAACACCTTCAACATTACTTAGGTGTATATCTGAAAAGGGCCAATATGCAAGCAAAGGTGTGTTGCCCGAGTTTAAGTTGGAGCTCACTCTTGTAGATTTGATCTTGACACCTTCATCACCACTTAACATGCCATGTTTAAGTTCAAACCCATTGCTTAACTGGTGACAAAGACCTGGGGTGTTACACAACACTATAGGGGAAAATGTCGGTGCCCACAACACTTCTTGGGTTCTGACATGTCAGGAAGGTTGCAGGGTACTGTCCTACAGGTGTACAGGGTATGGTCATCGGTATTGCAGTTGACTTTGAGGGCCCTGCCTTACTTGCTCCATCCATTTTCTGGTCCTCACCGAGCGGGCGTCCCCGGTCGGTTGGTTCCAGTCAGTTTTGACTACGCCAGTCAGAGAAAAGTTGTAAGTAGGGGTTCGGTGCATCCCCGGTCGGAGACGTGGGTCGGAGTTGGAGGCGTTGTTTGGCCAGGCCTTCCGGTCGTAGAGGCGGGCCAGAGTCGGAAGCAAGCGTTGTTCCTCTTTTAGCGAGGCCTTCCGGTTGGAGATCGGATCGCCCTTCTAGCCTGTCATTTAGGTATTTGGGCCGGCCCAGGAGTTACGCGTCGTTCGCAACGTCGCCTACTGGGCCGAGCCTTTGCTAGGAAGCCGATCCATGAGGGACCCCGAGTTTATGAACCCGACACTATGTGTTAAAATTTACTCAAATAAAAATAATCTCTGATGTTTCAGATTCTGTGTTTGTGTGTAAGAATCCTTTAGTGCCCCGTTCTCGTCGCTGTTTGGCTTATGCTGATTTATTGTGAGAGAAAATACTATTCTTTTGCTGAAAAGTACTGCTGATGTAGCGATGAAGAACATGGCGTAGGTGTCTAGGTGCAATTACATAGGATTGTGTTCGATCCATAGGGATTTTAGGAATCCAGATAAAAAAATCTCAAAATCCTAGAATTCCATCAAACACCTTAGGATTATCGAAACATTAGAGATTATCTAGAATTCGGATTTTATAATCCTTCCATATTTTGATGAAATTCTAGGGTTCTGACTTTTTTTTAATCTAGATTCTAAAAAATCTATGTAAACGGTACCTGAGCCACGTGTACGTTGAGGACCTCTCCCAGCCCCTACCGGTCGGTAGGCACCAGCAGCACCAGACTAGACTCATCGGTCCCATATGCGTACGCACACGCTGACACACAGGTTGAGACACAGTGACACAAAACAACTCACCTGACCACCGCTGGCCCGCTGACCGAGATGAGGGGAAGCGAAGCAAATAAAAAGGGCATCATCATCCACCCTCTAGAAATATTCTAGAGCCCTCGCGAGCGCCAGCCGAACCTTCTCCAACTCTTGCATTCCCTCCGTTTCACGGTGTGTTTGGATCCGGTGACCGAGGATGTCGCACGGGATGTTTGGATATTAATTAAAAAATAAATTATAGAATCCGTCAGTATTATACGGTATGAATTTTTAAGCCTAATTAACCTATCATTAGCATATTTTTACTGTATCACTACATTGTTAAATCACAAATTAATTAGGATTAAACGTTTTGTTTCGCAAATTAGTCATAAGCTATATAGTTGGTTTTATAATTAATCTATATTAAGTACTCCATCCATACAAACATCCGATGGGACGACGTATAAAAGTTTAGAGCAGAGGCAAACACCCCTTAGTTCGCCGCGCCACCGCTGCAGCATCCCAATTCCAATTCCAACTCTGCGCAGAGCCTTTCCCGCATTACGAATTGCGATTCGACAGATCCGCGGCTCGATTACCCGAGATGCTACCACTTCCGAGCGGGAGAAGCGCGGCGGCAAGGCGCGCGCCGGAAGTGTGGCCATGGACGCCGCGCCGGTGCTGAAGCGGAAGGGCGAGGAGGCGCTCGAGGCGTGGCTGCTCGGCGGGGTCCCCGTCCCCGCCACCAAAATCCGCCGACTCGTACGCACCTACCTAGCCTGCTCTCTCTCTCTCTCTCTCTTCATTAGATTCCGATGGATGGGGCCGCTGTAACGGGCGTGCGTTTGGGTTGGGATTGCGCCGGACGCGGAGGTGCCGCCTGTCGGGTCCGGCGCGGGCGTACTGCCACAGCCGCACCATGCTTTCAGGGTGGAGGAGGTGCGGATGAGCGGTCACGTGGGGGCGCAACCGGCCATGGACGCCACGCCATTGCTGAAGAGGAAGGGCGAGGAGGCGCCGCAGCCATGGTTCGACGTCGATGGGGTCCCTATACCCGCCACCAAAATCCACCGACTCATACGAACCTCCGCTCGCCCGCTCGCTCGCTCGCTCTCTCTCTCTCTCTCTCTCTCTCTTATGCGTGCGTTTGTGTTGGTGTTGCTCGCACAGGACGCCGATGTGCCGGCTGTCGAGGCCGCGGTGGGTGTGCCGCTTGTTGAGCCCGGCGTGAGCGTGACGCCGCAGCCTTTCGATGTGGGGGACTTGCCGATGAGCAGCGACATGGCTGCGCTGGCCGCAGTGATTGGCGTGGCTGCGCCGGCGGTGAACGATGAGCGGGCGATCGTGGTGTACCAGCCTGCCGAGGCCGCACGCAACCTCCTGCATGGTCCACTCCGCCCGGGGGCTTCTCTCCAGCGTCAGCCCCGACTGGATCCATGGGCTCAAGAGTACGTGCCGCCTTACCTGTTTGTCTGCTCGGCTGCTCCTTCCCCCAAATTAATTTGGGCAAATTTTATTCGATGCTGAAATGAAGATTGATGCATCCTGCAGGCACCATGCTGCAAGAGGTGAGCAACTACAGGGCTCTGTTCGAGGAGATGGCCGCCGGGGACGAGAATCTAAGCCTGGCCATGGTCCCGTGGGCGCCCGCCAAGGCCCATGCCCATGCCGCCTCCAGCTCCACATCGGTGGGCGCGAAAATGATGGACGCTGATCAGGACGGAGACGGCACATCCATGGAGATCGAGCACGGCATGGAGGGCCAGACCACGCCCCCAGCGGTGGGTGCGCTGCAGGGGGAGGCGTTCCACCACCATTACCAGCAGCAGCACCAGTGGCTGGCGCTGCACTGCGTTGCGTCGCCGCAGCTGCAGCTCCCGGCCACGAGCTACCAGCCAAACCCTGTCACGTGGTCGTGGTGACGACGCGAACCAGAGCAGGGAGGACACGGTAGTGAGTAGAGTACTACAATAGTGATTAGAATCTCGGATAGTCGGATCTTCTTTGCAGCCAGGGGCGGAGCCAGTTATCTAGCAAGGCTTGGCGGACGCCATACCTATATAAAGTCTATAGAAAATACTATATACATGTAATATATATGTTCGTCAGGCCATCCTGCCACGCCCCTGCGATCCCTTCGCTTCCCTCCAAATGCCACCCAGGCGGAGCATCACGCAATGAGACTTTATCTGAGACTTTATCAAATACCATGGGACAACTCCCAAATCGGCTGAGGAATAAAAAAACGACGAAGCACATCCGCATCACGTGCTCCCCTCCGTCCTCCCCCACCTCTATCGCCCCAGCCTACACAGCGCCTCCCCTCCCTCCCACGACACTTGCAACGACGGCGGCGCAATCCGTGGCACCCATATCCACTGCCGCTTTTCCACTGCCTCTGTCGATTGCGATCCGTGGCACCCATCTCCACTGCCTCCATCGATCACGGGTAAGAAAGGGACCCCACTGCCTCCGTCGTTTGCGATCCGTGGCACCAGTCTCAACGCACCCACCATGGACATCCTCTGCCTGCCTTCGGCCACGAGCGAGCGCGAGATCCCCGCAACGGACCTCCTCCCACGCGCTGCAAGAGGGGAGCGGAGGAGTGCGCGGATCCCAGGGGAGACCTGAATCCCATGCCGCCGCCGTGACGCCGTCGCCTTAGCAGGGTACAGGTTCGTTCTCTTGTTCTAGACGCAAGCAGCAGTTGAGGACGCCATGGCTGGTATCGCGATGCCATCTCCATCTTTCCCGCGACCGGCATCTCTGTCTTCCCCGTAGCCGGCAACTGAGCAGAAGAGCGCGACCATCTCGACGGCGACGCGCACTCCTCCCTGCTCCTCCTGCCCCTGGCGGTTCGGATGGCCGGTGCAGCCATGCCGCGCTTGAGTTCGCCCGCCACGGTGAGTCTCCCGTGGAGAGCTCTACTTCATCTCCGAAGAGGTCGTACGCCCTACTCCCTTTGCTTCCATTTTCTTTTCCTCATTTCTTTGAGTCTAGGATTTTTTTTAGTTCTCCGGAGTGACATGTGGCGCGGCGCGCCTGGCCAGCCTTAACAACACGCACCTTAACAAGACGCATACCATCACCTGGGAGTTCAAGAAGAAGCAGGAGGTACGCCCGCACTTTATTTGCAGTAAAAGATACTCATGTTTACAGTTTGCTTTCGTTCTTGCACTCCAATATTCAGTGTATCAACATGCTCCCGTAGCACTGACTACTGAGTCACTTGTCTTGTGTTCGTGATACTAACTTGCTCATTGAAAGTCATGATCAAATTTTCTCATGTTAGTTTATGTTCTGATAATGTTTTTTTGATAGATATAATCTCAAATAATGAATTCTGAACTTTTGAATGAATATCTCGAATGCACAGAGATGCTTTATCTATAATATCTCGAATGCATAGATGCTTTATCTATAATGTGCTTATAAGAATGAACAAGTTCCTTGCAAAACTGAATAAATTAGACTGGAAATCTAAGCAAATACTGAATGCACAAATACCAATCCTTCGAGCTCCACCCAAATGGTATTGAGGGTTAAAAGTTTGATTGTATGGAAGAACTGACTGAAGGCGGGGATGCATGGCTTCCGGTGGACAGGAGCCGGAGGCATGCGGCTGTGGCTTTGGAGTGTGGCAATGGTGGTGCAGGAAGCGGGAGCGCAAGGCGGCGACGGTGAGGGCAGTGTTGCACGACAGAAGAGCAGCGACGACGAGGGCAGTGCTGCACGGCAGAAGAGCAGCGACGACAAGGGGAATGCCTCAATGCATGGTAAGTATTTTGAGGCCTCAGATGTTCATATATTTTTTTTTTTTTTTTTGCAATTTGCAAATGTTTGTATACATAGCTTGGATCTATCAGATTTGATGGTGTACAAAACGAGATCGTAGGTTCACTTCAAAGAATTCTTGGTAGTTTGCTTGTGCTTGCTTTGCTATTTCAATCTAAAGATCTGGCTTGGTTTATTTTCTTACCATTTGGGTTCCTTTTTATATTAGGATCAGTTTGGGCCTTACTTGAGAGATGTTGAATGTCACTGGTACCTCTCAAAGGTATGGTTTCTCAACTGGAAATACTTGTATATTTAATGTGTTGTTTTAAGGCATATAAATATTTTTACAGATGCTTTATCTATAATATCTTGAATGCACAGATGCTTTATCTATAATGTGCTTATAAGAATGAACAAGTTCCTTGCAAAACTGAATAAATTAGACTGGAAATCTAAGCAAAAACTGAATGCACAGATGCCAATCCTTCGAGCTCCACCCAAATGGTATTGAGGGTTAAAAGTTTGATTGTATGGAAGAACTGACTGAAGGCGGGGATGTGTGGCTTCCGGTGGATAGGAGCCGGAGGCATGCGGCTGCGGCTTTGGAGTGTGGCAACGGTGGTGTGGGAAGTGGGAGCGCAAGGCGGCGACGGCGAGGGCAGTGCTGCATGGCAGAAGAGCAGCGACGGCGAGGGGAATGCCTCAATGCATGGTAATTATTTTGAGGCCTCAGATGTTCATATATTTTTTCTTTTTCTTTTTTTGCAATTTGCAAATGTTTGTGTACATAGCTTGGATCTATCAGATTTGATGGTGTGCAAAGCGAGATCATAGGTTCACTTCAGAGAATTCTTGGTAGTTTGCTTGTGCTTGCTTTGCTATTTCAATCTAAAGATCAGGCTTGGTTTATTTTCTTACCTAGTAAATTTCAAACTCCAGAACCAAAAAGATGACAATTTTTGTACGCTACAATCTGAAGACTCTTGAAAGTTGTTGTACTAATGTTTGATCCATTCATCTGCATTTTACAGAGTATCACTAAATCAACAGGGAGGACATGGACTATGGCTGTTTAGCCCAAGGAACTAATCCATTCAAACAGGTTGCCTATTGTCATAATTCAGAAAATGATATATGTCCATCTTTATCTACTAATGAAATCAATTGGCCAACTGTATTGAATAGCCTCTGTTTTGTGTAAATGAGTAAAGCTAACTCGTACTACTTGCCAAAAACCTTTGTTTCATGAAGAGAAAACATTTGATAAGGATAGAGCTGGAAATTAAAGTTTCAGGTGCAAGAGTCAGATAATGATTTGCTAACATTTGTTTATTATGATTGTACATAAAACTACATTGAATTGACTGAGCATGGCAATTTTTTAATATTGTGATAACCTTACAGCCTCCATCTTTAATAGGTCCATGGGAAATGCTAAGTCTTATGCATTAAGCTGTCGTTTGGTTGTTTTAATTTGCATGTTTGGATGTTGCCATAGGGATTTTAAGACAAAATTACTTAACAGGGCCGGAAGCAGTTTTCCCTTCGGGAGGAAGAAGGGGATGGGGAGGGTGAGGTTGATGGGCGGGGCCCGTCGGCAGTGGCATTCATTATGCATACCTTTAATAGTTAGTTGTCATAAAAGCTATATTGTCATATTCCTTGATTAAACTGACATAGGTCGTTTGTGTTCAAAGGTGCTGGTTATGTGCCTTTGTCAATCGAGCTTCATATTTTGCAACATCTCTCCGATGTTGTTGTTTAGATTAATCATGTTCTAAAACTGTACATCCTTATACTGTATCATATTCTGGTGAGTAACTCTTCTTCTGTTTTCAGTTATCTTGCTTCTTCAACTATTAAGGCAGAGTCGCAATGAGTGACCAAACTAATGAAAAATGTCCACTTTACTTGAACAAGATGGATTTGACAGATAAACAACTGAAGCCATGTAAATGTGGATATGAGGTGAACATCCAAGGCTTTACTGCTTGAGTACCATCGTGGTGTGCAGACAATTTGTTTTATGTTTTTTCCATGGTCTTTATTTATTTGAATGTAGTTCATATCTTATGTTTGCTAAGACTCTTCTCAATAATTGTAAAACTACATTATCATAAAGTAATTATTTTATATGATTATATTTTCATTTCTCATGCTAAAAAATGGGTAATAAACACCTATAGTTATGTGTTCTCTTCTTGGTTTGTGAAGCTCATTTTGTATTTTCCAACAATGGGAAAGACCAAGAGATGTCAGTATTGCTCTTGTTTAGTAAATATGACTGATGTAGTATAATTGTGCCTGCGGTGGAGGCCTGTTTGCTTGGTTACAAGGCCAAAGGGATTTTTTCTTTTTCTTTTAGGGACAAAGGAGGGGGATTTAAGGAGTTAAACTCCAAACCAGACCGAAACAAAACTCATGCACCTAAAATAAAATGAAGCACACCAAATTAATTTTGAAATATGCCTTTGAAAGGGATGTGGTTGAATGTTGAATTCGAGTGTCGGGGACCAATATTAGGGTACCCAAAGAGGAGGAGCTAATAACCATCAACATTGATTCATCCGGAGTAGTCAAGAGCGCGACTATAGCTCCAACCGACCCCCAGGTGCGCAAGCTCGAGGGCGGGCTTTGCCTCGCTCGACCTCTGGGAGTGGGCTCCACCTCGCCTGACACCAAGGCCACGGGCTCCGCCTCGCCTGACCTCTGAGGCCTGGCTCCGCCTCACCCGAACCTCTGAGGGCTGGCTCCGCCTCGCCTAACACCGAGGCCGTGGGCTCCTCCTCGCTCGACCTCTGGGGGCGGGCTCCACCTCGCCCGGCCTCTGAGGGCGGGCTCCACCGTCCGACCTCTGAGGACTGGCTCCGCCTCACCCAACCTCTGAGGGCTAGCTCCGCCTCGCCTAACACCGAGGCCGCAGGCTCCGCCTCGCCTGACCTCGGAGGGCTGGCTCCGCCTTGCCCGACCCTTGGGTTCACGCTCTGCCTCACCCGACCTATGAGGGCAAGCTCTGCCTCACCCGACACCGAGGCCACAGGCTCTGCCTCGATCGACCTCTGAGGGCGGGCTCCACCTCGCTCGGCCTCTGAGGGCTGGCTCCGCCTCGCTCAACCCTTGGGTTTGCGCTCTGCCTCACCCTGCCTCTAGGAGGGGACTCCACCTCGACCGACCCTGAGGCCGGGGGATCCATCTCGCCCGACGGAGACCCATACCGCCTCCAACCACTCTAGGTTCAAGTAAAGGGCCTGGGTCAAAGCTTTGACACTAGGGAGGTGATGGTCCATACCTGGGGATTCACATTAGGAACAACGTCGGGCATACCGGTGCTGTTCTGCCTAACCCTCATACGGGCACTGACAGGCGTGTCAGTTCACCACGACGTCCGCCAGGATAGAATAGAGCGCCATGACCAGGAGATGACGCTTACGCATGGCGCCAGTGATGGACAGGGCCATGACGTAGAGCTGTCCCTGTTGACGTCTACAGGGTCGGTTGGACCCGCGTGAAGGAATAGAAGGACCTGGCGATCCTAGAGGACTTCTTTTCCTTCTCATTCTCCTCTTTTTCCTCGACTGTAACCCATGCTTTCCTTGGCCTATAAAAGGGAAAGCAGGGCGTCCCATAAGTGGCATCGTATCAAAACACATCACACCAATTTGAACTCAAACCCCGAACCGATTAGAACATAGAAGCACACAGCCAAGAAGCGACCAAGCCCTCGGCACCCGTTTGCTCCTCTCACCAGAGATTTGGGACATGTCCCTCTCTCAACCATTTGTAACCTCTACTATGAACTTTTAGTGCTAGTAACACGAGCAGCAACCATAAACTGGATGTTGGGACATTTTGCCCAAACCAGCATAAACCTCGTGTCCTCTTAGCACACCATCCGGGCTAGATGCATAATATTAGAAATTTACTAGCCGGTGGCAACTCGAAACACCGCATTTGGCATGCCAGATAGGGGCCTTTTGCGCATCTCAATATCCACACCAGGCCTCGGATAGCTAGTCGCAACCTCAGCTGGGTCCGAGGCGCGCACGTGCACTTTGAGGACCTGGACTTCATCGTCACGACGAAGGGAGAGTTGGCGATGGCTCCTGCCATCGTCTGACCTCTCCACTCCACCGGCCTTAACGCAATCGCCGAGGCACTTGAAGAGCTATAGCTGCACGCACCGGAGGCCCATGCCCTCGGAAGCAACCAGCACCTCGACTTCGACTACGGGAGGTCAGAGTGCTAGCTCGGCACCTTCTTAGGACCCCGGTCGTCCCGGGAGGACCTGCGCCACCTCACCTTCTCATTCGCCAACATCATGGTATAGCTTGTCGGAGGGGAGCTCCTCTCTTCGGAATACCTCATCCGGAGTGCCCCGACAGTGCTCCTGTTCGGCCTCCACAACGCCACAGAGACCGATGGCCACCCTGTGGCACAACACACGCCTCCATCACCCATGAATGACTAGTTCGTGGGGATGACCGAATATGTCACGGAGTCTTTCCATGACCTCCTCACAGGAGAATCGGAGTCGCCCTCCAGCTCTGACTCCAGCGGGGGAGCCATCATCCCCTCTCGTGAGTATTTCATGGCGGGTACCCCTGAGGAACATGTTGAAAGCATCCACGAGGAAGAGGCTACCCCAACAAACGACCTCGGGGGGATGCAGGGACCCCGCCTCACCTGCGGGTGGAGCAGCTAAAGGCTCGACACCAAGAGGTCGAGGAAGCGCGACTCTAGCTCGAGTAGGAAACGCGGAACTCGATCGAGAGATGGAGCGCCATGGACACGGTGGGCGCGCGTGCGCCATGGCCCACGACGTGAATTAGAGGATCATCGAGGATGATGAAGCCCTCCCACACTTCGTCCGGGCAAGCCAGAACATCGCTGTTGTGGTGGCCTTGCTCCGTGGGCTTCGGGGCCCGACACGCGAGGATCGTTGGGCCTATCACGAGATTTGCATGCTACTCGAGCGTGCAGCGGTGCAGCAAGCCGAAAGCTCATTATCTCGACGACGCGAGCTCAACGCCAGCTAGCGCACGCCCTTAGAGCGACCTCGACAAGGACGCATTTGTCCACCAAACGCCACAAGGTGGCAGGCTGCGCACCGTGGTCTCGGTGCATGAGCTCATGGCCACAACCGTGACGCGCATGATACCCACAATGCCCGTAGGCGCACCTATGGCGATGTGGGGGAGGGAGCTAGCCACGACTACCACCCTCGTTGTGGCGGACGCTACAACAGTGGCGAGGATCGAAGCTCGAGCCCTAGCCTACCGAGACCTCAGGCCTTTGGCCAACACATCCTCAATGCCACCTTCCCACCACGGTACCGACCACCAACCAACCTCCTGAAATACTCTAGGGAAATGA